TAATAAACTTGAGAGTGTTCAGTTTGTCCTGTCCCAATTAATTTGGGACATGACAAAAAAAATTCGGGATGGGACCGCAACCACTATGGTAACCATGATGAGACGAGATGTAGGACGGGCTCGTAAGTTTTTTTAAAAAAAAATTACTTATTAATAATTTTTATTAGATTATTCAATTCTTTTTTGAAGAATAATTATTTTTATAGTGATTTTCAGTTATTAGATTATAATGTTATTTCAATAAAATCTCATTTCTCAATAAAATAATTCATAAAAACATTATATAGTGTTTTTTATGGTAATTCTTTTTTTACAATATTGTTTTTACAAGTTTTTTACAATATGCAATTGAGCTTTTTATATAACATATTTTTTTAAATGTTTTTATATTTAGAAGCCTAATAAAAAATAAAAATTACAATATAAAAAAAATCTAAACCTAAATTGCATTGGTTTGTAAAGAAAACAAATTTTGAAATAGGGACGAGAAACGGGATCGAAATCCCATCCTGTCCCATGAGCAAGCATAAATGAGCCCTTTGAGCTGCGTGTATAGTTTGGGCAGCCTCGTTTACAAAAATAGACCTCCACAGTTAAAAATAAATGAAAGGAATAATATTAGGGAGAATTTAGAAGTCATAATAGTAAACGATGACTACAAAAACGGGAATTGTTTTCCAAGTCAATGGATAACTGGTTTCCTAAAAAAGTCCTCATTCAGTACCATGTACTCAACACTACTACCTTACATTCTTAATATAAGAGTTAGTTGACTAGTTTAAGTAGATTAATAAAGTTTGTTGAGTTAGTTGTTCGTAATAATTAGTGTTGTTTTTTTCTAAAATACTCTTACTAATTATGTATTAGTTAAAACTACTATTTGATTGAATATTTAATATGTTTAACTACTACAAAGGCTACTTTGAAAAAATAGATAAATATGAAAGGCAAAGTGGATTTAGAGTCTTATATTTAGCACTAAATTAAAAGTTAAACTAGTTCTTATATTAATAACCGAATGAAGTAGTATAATACAACCTAGACCGTCCAATGAAAGCGGGGAGGTGATCATCTTGGCAGTGCTTGTGTGATGGCTATGCCTCTCTTTCATTGAAGATGCTAAAAGGGTAAAATGGGGAAAAAGTGATCGCACAGAAACTGATGACGAGAACATATTAGCATATATGCTTTTAATTAATGGCGTCTCTATTCAGATTGCCCATGCTCATTTCCTCGTAGGATCATAGCTCTTTCAAGGAGTCCCTTCCTAATTCAAGATTTCTGCTTGTTGCTTCTTCCCCATTGTATTCCATTTCTGATCCATATCTGTTGTCCCTCAACTATAAAAATCTCCATCGTCGCTTCTCTTTTCCATCGTCTCCTTCTTCGTCAGACATAGCCGATTCACGCCGGATCACAGATCCATCTTCAAAAGCCTGGCAACATTCGTGAAAGAATACGGACAAAAAAAATACAGGAGGGAGTTAACGGATGGTTGTGGGCTGTTTAACACAGGTGAGATTGCTCGACTTTTAAAATTTCTGAGGTCAAATTCCACCATAAATTATTTTATGATGCTATATATACTTTAAAAAAATTTTCTAAGTGCTAGATATACCTTAATCCTTTTATTAATATCCACAACATTAACATAACAAAATGTTCTGCATAAGATAATATACTACCTACGATCCTTAATATAAGAGCTAGTTTGACATTCAATTTGGTCTTAAATATAAGATTTTAATTTACTTTGTCCCAATTAGTCCTTCTGGTAGTTGGACATGTTAAATGTTTTATCAAATGATAATTCTAGCCAATACATATGATTAACAAGGGTATTTTAGAGAAGACAATACCTATTTATTATAAATAACTAACTTATCTAATTTTCTTAATTTACTTAAATTAGTCAACTTACCTTTATATTAAAGAGAAGAGATAGGATTAAACAAAAAGCATCAATCTGCACATGTAACGGAATAGATAATAATTGATTTCATCTATGGATAAACATGAAAATAATATTACAAGCCTCAAAAAACACTCTCAATAAAAATAAAAATTACATGTATTCATACGCACCCAAATATTTATTGGAATTCATGAATCACTTCGAAGTCTAAATTCAAGTGTCCGGTAGGAATTATGGTACTCGTATTAGTTGAAGTGGCAAAGTCAAATGGAGTGGGAGGCACCTTTAATTTATCAACCTCTTCGTCCAACATTTGAATAATGGTCTTCATGGAAGGACGATTTATTGGATGCCATTGAATGCACCAAAGTCCCACAATTGCCAGTTTTCTCGCAATCTTAATGTCATCTTCATCTTCTATGTGGATACTTATATCAGCTCCTTCCATCAAACTATGGATCTATTCTGGGTATAACACTTGTAAGGTTTCTGGATTAGTGTCAACATTTTTCCTTCCACCAACCATTTCTAGTAGTAGCATTCCATAACTGTAAATATCTGCTTTATATGACACATTTATAAAGTTTCAAGAGAAGATTTCAGGTGCAATGTAGCCTAAAGTTCCTCTAGCTGCTGTTATTGATACAGTACTTTGATTTTTAGAACACAATTTAGCTAGACCAAAATCAGAAATTTTTGGAGTAAAATTGTGATCTAACAACACATTACGAGAATTGATGTCAAAGTGAAGAATTCGATAATCACAACCTTGATGAAGATATTCAATCCCCTGAGCTATGGAAAGGGCTAACTGTTGCAACTTCAACCATCCAAGGAAATTTTCTTTGTTGTCTGGTGAAGATATGAACTTCTGAAGGGAACCATTTGGAAAGAAGTCATAAACAAGAGCATGATGAAAACCATCAGTGCAAAAGCCTAGCAAACGAACAATATTGATGTGATGAATTTTGCCCATAGTCCCCACTTCATTGATGAACTCTTGCCCATCACTCTCTGAATTATTGAGTACTTTTACGGCCACTTGGATTTCCGTAGATAACTTACCTTTAAACACTTCTCCTTGAGCTCCTTCACCTAATGTATGCTTGAAATGATTTGTGATTTGTTTTAGGTCAGCATAAGAAAATCTAGTAGGCTTATGTACCTTGTAATCCTCCAAAAACTTTTCCAATCTCACTTGATCATCTCCTTTCTCTTTGAAATATAGATACATGTAAAAGCACACAATGAACACCAACGCCAGTAGAATTGAACCTGGTGTTACAGAAGCATGTAAATTAAACATCAAATTTCAATTAGAGGAACATACTAAAAGCCAAGTTGAGAGGGGGGGGGAGAGCAAAGGAGGAAAAGCAAAGTCAATGATTTTCACAAGCACCTGGGAAAACAATTCCAAGAATCTTCCTAGTTTTACGCTTTTCTACATCAGAATTTGGTTGTGGAAATTTGATTTGCAAGACGTTTCTCTAAAAGCACATTGCAGAAAGTGGAGAAATTACCTGAAACATCTTGGTGCAGAAAGCTAGGTCCCACTCCAGGATACTATCTTCGGAGGAAACAGCATAAATTGGGCAGACAACCATATCTTGTGTAGATGAATTGGAAAAGTGTTCGTGTCTAAGGTATCTCGACCCAAGTGAACAACAATTGAAGAAAGTAACATTTTCTTTGGTCATATCATAAAACTCTAAAGGATAAATGGATGAATTGTAGAGATGATGTTGTAGAAAGAGTCTGGTAAGAAAACCCTCTGGATCCTGTGTGTGTAAGATGTGGGATTTATACTCCCTGTCATAAACATAGAGACTTACTCCTTCAAGAGCAGGGATAGACGGGAACTCAACCATCCTGCCATGGTCATAGAGATGGAATGGAACAGTTTTATCATTAGCCACATGCTATTTCAAACCATTCCCTTGTTTCACAAGGAACATTGATAGTTGGAATATCACCAACAACAAAAATCTGCAATAGCAAAACATGGTAAGCAAATATTTTCTTTTCCAAGTTGTACATGAAACTTGGATTGGTGACACGACACATATTTCATTTAGAATGAAAGCAAGGAGAAGAAGGAATTGACTTGGAAGTCCACTGTGGGTTAAAATTGTTGTCGTGGTCTGTGGTGCTGCTAAAGTAAAAAGCTTTGGATTGATCACATTTGACCAAAATTGTTTGTCGTGGTTTATGGTGTTAGTTAAGGAAAAGCTTTGTATTGATCAGAGTTGATCAAAATTGTTTACAATGATCCTTGGCACTATTTAAGAAAAGCATTGGATTGATCAGAGGTGACCGAAATTGTTTGTTGTGGCTCATGATTTACGATGCAACATAATAAAAGCTTTGAATTGACTACAGTTATTCGAAATTGTTAGCTGTGGTCTATGGTGCTGCTTAAGTAAAATTTTTATATTAATCATAGATGACCAAAATTTTTTTGTTGTGGTCTATGGTGCTATTTAAGTAAAGGTGTTAAATTGATCAAATTGATTGAAATCATTTGCTGTGGCCCGTGGACTACGGTACTAAAGTAAAAGTTTTGAATTGACTACAATTGATCTAAATTGTTAATCGTGTTCTATGATACTACTTAAGTAAAAGCTTTGAATCGACTAAAATTGACTAAAATTGCCCGTGGTTTATGATACTATTTAGGTGAAAGCTTTGAATTGACCATAACTGACCAAAATTGTTAATCGTGGTCTATGGTGCTACTTAAGTAATTAAAAGATTTGGATTGATCAAATTTGTTCTTTTCCTTCACTTAATTATCAATCTCTTTAAAATTTTCAGATAATAAATTATTTAATTTGCATTTTCTAATGTACGGGAAAATGGGGGGGAAAATACTATAGCAGTTAGTCAATATTCATAACGGCCAAGAGAGATGTAAAGACAAGTCATTAGTAAAAAATTGAAGTCAACCTTGGAAAAAAAAGACACAAGTTAGCCGTGTGGATGAGAAAGAAAAGGAAAAATGACAAGGAGCTGTGTTTATTAAAGAGAAGAAAAGGAATTTATTGAATAACAGCTTAGAATCAACAACTACACATCATTGTGAACGATGGAGAGAGAGAAAGGCTTAAGGTGGTGGGATTCAGTGTTGCTTGCATTGCTTCTAACGTATGGACTTGCGAGCTCCCAAGAGCAGAGCAAGTCCTGTGCTATGTCTCAGTGCGGCATTATCACAAACATCAAACATCCATTTCGACTATGTGATGACCTGCCCAGCTGCGGTGATCCAATCTATGAGCTAGCCTGTGAAAACAACGTAACTCTGCTTCATCTGAATTCAGCAACATATAGAGTGCTGGGAATTGACCACAGCAACTTCACAATCCGACTCGTAGATCCTGGAATTCAGGAGGGAAATTGCTCTTCCCTCCCTCACTATCTCTTATCCCTATCCAATTTCACTGATAGTCATAGCCGTAACCCCTATGACGCTATTTTGACATACAAACAATTTACATTCAAGCACGTAGTGTACCTAAAGTGCAGAGATCCAGTGAGGGATGACGCAGCATACCTGGACACAGCTCCCTGCGTTAAGCGGGAAGGAAGAAGTCATGTTTATGCTGTGGCTGGAGACCTGTCGGCTTACTAGTTAAAATCTCAGTGTCGTGTGAAATCAATGGCCACCATAGCCTCAGATTGGGAGTCAATGGGAGATCGAAGAAAAAAGTCCTACGCTAATATTCACACAGTGCTTTCCTCTGGATTTGAGCTTTCATGGTGGCGACGAGCTTGCATTGATTTTAAATGCCCAAGTGATCGTAAATGCTCTTTAGACTCTAAAACAATGAGTCTTAGATGCGCTGCATTTCGCGGGAGGTGCATTAGCCCCATGGGAATAACCGACGGTGAAGTGGGAATAAAATGTACGTCACTTTTCTAGTTTTTCGTTTCTGGTTTAAATTAATAGTTTTTCGTTTCTGGTTTAAATTAATAATTACTAACTCCAGTTTTTAATATAAGAGTTGACTAATTTGAGTAGATTTGTTAAGTTAGTTATTTATAATAAATATATATTATCTTTTTTAGAGTACCCTTACTAATCATATATATTAACTAGAACTATTATTTAATGAGACTTTTAACTAAAAAGACTATTTTTTAAAAAAATAGATAAATAAAAAAGACAAAATAAATTGGAAACTTATATTTAGGATTAAATTAAATATTAAACTTACTTTTATATTAAGAACCCACGTACTATTTGCTCAAGAGTAGTACTCCTTACTTAACTCAGATTTATTTTAACAGTTTTCTTGGCTTAAATGAAACAAACCTTTTTCCCGCTAAAATCAGTCAATGATTAATTTAAAAAACTAATTTTTTTTATTCAGATTTCCATGTTCAACATGTTGACATTATATTTACGGTTTTTAATTTTTAATATTTCTGAGTCTTGCAGGTCATTTATCAAAGTTGCGCATATTGGCAGAAGGTAAATAATGATCTTATTTACGTATATAAGAAAATTGATTAAGTTAATTATTTATTATTAAAAGGTCATATATCACTTTCCGTAACATATCCTGCTTATAAATTTTAAAAGAAAATAACATCCAATTGGATACTTATTTTGTATTCAATCACTGCTGTTGTTGACACTCCTAAAATTTCCTTGTAGATTTTCTTTATGGATTGGAAAAAGGTAAGGTTCTATCTCATCCCCGGCACATTTTTTGTTATTTTTTGAGTTTAGCCACGATTTTAATTTCTTAATTAATTAGTTGATCAATTTTAATATATCTTCTGATTATATATATTATTTTAATTTTTGACTTTTAATTTGTGCCATATCTATCTTCATTTGGATACGCCAAATTAAAATGATTCTGCGCATACGAATATATATATATATATATATATATATATATATATATATTGGCCTGAGCACATACGAATATTAAGTGATTGAATAGGGAAAAAGGGATCTTATATTTTACAAGTAAATTCCTATACTTTTTCGTCATCCTTCTAAAACAAATCCACGGCAATATCAAAATAACACTTGTGATTGACTCCTTATTTATGCCGTAAACAAAAGTCTATATACTTTATATCTTGTCATGGTCAAAAATAAAAATAAACTTCATATAAATAAATGATGTTACTCATGATTTTAAATACTTTATGAAGGTCAAACAAAGTTTCACTTCAAATATCAAACCTACATGTCATCACATGATATCCACATGTCTCAAGGGGTGTTTGGATGGAAATCAAACAATAATTTTAGAAATAATTTTACAATATACAAAGTAAATATGTGAAGAAATTTATCTAGATTTATGAAAAACTACTTTTAAAAAGCAGATATCCAAAAACTTATTTATTGTCTTACTTCTCAGCGATTGTTTGCAACTCTATAAAAGGACATTGAATAGGCAAAATCAAAGATAGACAAAAAAAAAATGTCTGAACCCAATATAAAACAATTTATTTACAAATATTATTACTTATATTTTTATACCTTGTTCTTTTTCAATTTGTGTAAAATCCTCCTGTAAAAAAATACTAATAATTAATTCTAAGGTTAATACCATTTTTAACCCCTAAAATTTTACTTTATTTTGATTTTGGTCCTAAAATTTGAAACCAACAATTTTGGTTCTTGACATCTTGTCTCAAAGGCCAAAAATACTGTTCTAAGGACCAAAAATCATAAAAAAAATCAAATTTCAAAAATTAAAACTACAGCTGGTTTTAAATTTTAGAGACTAAAACAAAAAAAATTCAAATTTTAGGGACTAAAAATGATATTAATACTTAATTCTATGTATATTCAAAGTGGTCATATTCTTGTCACTACTAACCAATTATACGGTGTTCATTTGTTTTTTTTTTTTTTTTGGGTGGGGGGTTGGGGAATGTACAGGGTTGGACGAAGTAGCAAGGAAGGGTATATACCCTCACTACAGTGACACCGATTCTATTCTAACAAATCCAGCAATCAAATTAGGAATACTCACTGCAATAGGTCTTGTGCCATGCATGATAGTCAGATTTTCAATCGGGGTCCTACTACTATCCATATTGTTGATTTATAAATACCGGAGAAGGCACATGTCAATGTTTGAGAACATTGAAGATTTTATAAGACTTCAAAACCTTATTCCAATAAGGTACTCCTACAAGGAATTAAGAGCAATGACAGAAGGTTTTAAGATTAAGTTAGGTGAAGGAGGCTTTGGAAAGAGAGAGTATGAGAGAGAACAATTAAATTATTAAAAAAAAGAGAAGTGGGAGGGAGAGATAGTATGAGTTGGAGACAAAATAAATAGGGGTAAAATAGAAAATCAATACAAAAAAATAGAGACAACTTTTAAGTATCTCTTATATATGGAAACATGCCATAAGCATAAAATGTCTTTTATAATAAGAAACGAAGGGAGTATTACTTAAATAAAAAGAACAACTTTTCCACCGAATTCGGTGGAAAAGTTGGCAACATTTATTATGAAGAAGAAAACGGAGTGGATGGTTGAAGGGAGGAATTAATAAAAGAAGAAGAAAAAGGGAGGAACAGTTGAAAGTTACAGATAAAAAGGAAGCAAGAGGCCAAAAAAAAAGAGAGAGAGAGAGAGAGCAACAGGAAGAGAAAGATAGAGAGAGAGGGAGCATGGAGAGGACTGCATGCTATTTCTAAAAGAGAGGGCAAGCTTTAGGGATAATTTAGATACATAAAATTACTTCTTTTCATTAAAATTTCTTCATGAATATTTTCTATATATTTTAAGCTTCCTAATGAAAGTATTACTACGGTGATTAGAGAAAATTTTGAGATTTAGATATGGAGTAAGTATTGAGTTTTGAAAAAATTAATTTTTAATTTAAAAAATCTGTTATATATGACATATATCTTATTTATACAGATCAAAATTAAGTTAAATAATTTATTTGACATATTATTGAGATTTTAATCAATTTAGTTTTATTTACTAGGTGACTGGAGGTTTTAAAATAATTATTTTAAACAAAATGTTTATTATTTGTGGGGGAAAGATCTAATAGTTATACCATTAAAATTTTGATTAAATTATTTATTTATAAATATTTGAGGTACTATTGAATTTTTGATGATTTGGTTTTGAGATTTAAACTTCAAATGGGATTTTTAAAAAATTTAGAACATAGTAATTTCATATTTGCAAATTTTGAAAAATTCTTTTTATTAGAGTAAATAATTCGGAGGATGTAAATAAATAATTTGACTTGTTATATAATTATAAGTTAATTCTAAAATACTTAATTTGGGTTATGAGAGTTGCCGAAATTTAGAATAAAAATTAAATTAAATTAGAAATTTAACTAATATATAAGCTTAATTAATTAATTAGTTAGTTTATATTAATATTTGGTTATATTAATTGTGTAAATTAATTATTGGTTGAGTACGAGATTGACCTTGTGGTAATTCTTTTTATTATTGTGGTCAGAGGTAACTATTTTTTACTTGTTATATGTGCTAATATATTGTTTGTGAGTATTTTGATATTTTGAAACAGTGATATGCTATTTGAAACTCAGGGAGATATGTTATGCCTTTTTAAGCTATGAAAATTATCTTGTGAAATTTTTAGAATTGTCACTAAGCTGTTTGAAAAAATATATATAATTTATATCTTATAGATTATATTGAAAAAAGATTAATATATTTCTTATTATATTGTGAATGATTGATTGTTAATTGGATTTTAAGTTGAGTCTTACTCTATCAAGTGGTAAGGTTGCCACTAATATACATTGGTTGGCTTCCTTCGTCCCTTATAGTGAGGGATATACTTTTGTGGCTTCTTATTCGTCTTCCAAAGTGAGAAATAGGCTTATATGTCTGATTGATCCCTCATAGTGAGGGATAAATTTATGTGGTTTGTGTGTTGACCACATATTGAGGGCTTGGATGATTGAAATTATCTTAGTACACATGTTTTATGTTTATATTGATATATCTATATTTCTCGAGAATTAATAACTATCCTACTTGATACCTCACAAATACATGTTATTATGTATGATGAGTTGGAAAGTTGGTTATTAAGGCTTTTATCTCACCCCATGATTTCTACTATCTTCAGGTGATAGCTTAGGTGACGGTCCATCAGGGAAGGCTCTGAAGGCTTAGTGTGCTGTTATAGCTTATATAACTTCTCTTCTTTTGTTTTATATGCTGGTTTTTATACATTGCCATATCAGGCTCATTTATTCTAATGTTATAAACTGATACTTTTGATTACTACTATCTAATATGGGGGGCCGTTAGAAGGCCAGAGACCTCTAAGAATTTTCATGTGACACTCTCTTGAAAGTTTTGATTTTTGATTAATAAACTCTATAGCTTAATTTAAAATGATTTATCAATTCGTATATTTGAAAGTATAAGTTTTGTTTGGACTAATGGTTAAATGGTATTTCTAGACTTTAGAAGTCCAAAAACCATGTTAATGATTGATATTTCCCGTGATATAAGTTTATTTCTTTTAACCATGATAGTGGTTGTATAATTTTAAGATTTCTTCTTTTCTATCATGATTAATCTTTTGAATAAATTATTTGATTCAATCTAAATAAGTTTTTGGAAGAACGGTCATCACATGT